TTTTGTTTACATTATGAGGTCAATGACCTTATTGTTTACGTTTTTCCAGGGTCAATGACCCCTTTGTTTACATTTTACGAGGTCAATGAACCTTTTGTTTACATTTAGCCAAGTCCACAACCTATTTTATATTTAGCGAAGTCCAGAACCATTTTTTAAATTTAGCCAAGACAACAACCTTTGTTTACATTTGGGGTTCAATGACCCTTTTGTTTACATTTTATGAGGTCAATGAACCTTTTGTTTACATCTAGACAAGTCCACAACCTTTTTACATTTAGCGAAGTCCACAACTTTTGTGTACATTTACCCATGTCCAGAACCTTTGAGTTCATTTAGCCAAGCTAGCAACCTTTGTTTATTGTTTAAATTGTTCAGATCGCGACACTTCAGTATATTTATAGCCGTTGTTTTCGCTGTTGTAGCGATATAATTCTGCCGAGTTGACAGTCCTTGTCCGGGTCCGTTCCGTCCAATAAAACAAAATAGGAAAAAATATAAAACTATTTCTTTACATAAAACTGTATTTCTTTGTAATTTTTCTTATACAAATTTTCAATTACACTTATTTATAATATTAATATTTATTTAGTATTAAATAAAAATTAGAACAACTCTTCCTCTGCTTTGCGCTTGCGTTTCTTTAGCTTTTGCTTCGTATCTGCTGCCTTGCCGCGCATCACATCCGCCTTCAAGCGCTTCGCCGACTTTTTACGTTCCTGTGTTGCGGCTTTTCTCTTTGCCGCACGCAACGGATCGTGTATTTTCTCCTGCGCGAGCACTTTCTTACGTTCGGCACGCCGGCGCATTAATGCAGTCTGCGTGCGCGTGCGCAATTTATCATACAGATCGGAGCCAATACGCTTGCGCAAACGACTACCAACACGTAGCGCCAATTGTCGCAAGTCCCCGTCAACATTTTGGTCCTCCTCAGACATTTCACGTACCAGCGCACTCAGCAGCGGTGGTGCAAGCATTTCCAGTGTTTCCACATTGAGCAATGTGATGAGACCCTCGATTAGCGTGAAAAGTGCTGACCGCTGCATTGATAAAATATGAAGGTTATGTTTGTTTAATATAGCGACGGCATTTACTTACCACTACGGTGGAATGTGGCGCCTTAGCCACTTCTCTGTTAATCAGGAAGCGTACATTACGTACTAGCCAGTACAAATTAATTTTTATACCCGCCGTATTCTCTTCCTTCTGTTCCACTGTTGTGTTCTCCTTTTCCTCAGCTGCGTCGTCTTCCTGTTTTTCTTGCTTAACACTAAAAGGCACATCGCGCAACATATTTCCTATGAACAGGAAGATCTTAACTATTTCATCAATCATATTTTGTTGCGTGTCGCCGGGCACCACTTGGGCGCACAAGTCCAACACCAACGATTTAATATCGTAAACGGGATTGGTATAAATGAAATCGAATTTCGCTGCGTTAGCGTCCACCCCATTGCCGTTTGTGTAGTCTGGATGCTGTTGAGCCCTCGCTAACTGTGCGCCAACACGCGCATAATCGTAGTTGCTCAAAATGAGTGCGATAATTTTGGCCGCATTGCAGCGTACCCAGACGTGCTCATGCGCAAGCAGTTTCTGCGATTCATAAGCCAGTTCATCGATCACGTGACTCAATTCGGCATTGTTGCCGCTGAGCAGCTCCACGGCACAGTAGTCCAACATCTTTAGCAGACAATATTGTATTTGTATTATTTCGTGATCGATGGCGCGTTGGTGCTCCTCAGCCGTTTTGGCTACTTCCTCCTCAGTGAGTACGATTTCCTCGACTTGCTTGCTGTTTTGGCCTTTAATTTTCTGTACAAACACAATATATATTATTATTAATACTATTTATTAACAAAATATCTTACATTATATTTTCTGCGCTTCTTGAGCTTTTCCTCATCCACGTCAAAGCCCAGCGCCTTTGGCGCGCGTACAAATCTTCCGGGCGCGCTAGGATTATTCATTGTGAGACGCGCAACAATTGTGGGAAGCACGAGTTTGAGGCGCGGCGCAAATGTTTGCTTTTCCGCGTTCAGAAAACGCGAACACAGCGACGCAGCCATTTCTGCCACCGAAGGTTTATTTCCGGCTTCGAAGAAGAGCAGCGTCATGTCGAATAAGCGCTGGCGATCGACTTTTTCCAAACGTGTAATCAGCAATTCGATGCAGTCGGCGATTGCCTTGCGGCAACCCGGGTCCTCGTCGTTGACCAAACGTGGTCCCAGCGAGATGTAAAGAAATTCCGCACGTTTGGAAAGCATCTTCAGCGGAAACTTTTTGATTAAAGTATGCAGAAATTGTATGACTGATTGTCGACCTGAGGGCAACGAATAGCGCAATTGTACTGTAAAGAATTTTATAATCTGATCGACGCGCTTCTTCAGTGAATATTCCATGATGTAGGTGACCAGTATATTGCGCGCCTCGTCTCGTACAAAGTCCGACTGTGACACGATCGACATATCGCCGATACGTTTCATTATTTGATGGAACGACTCGGCCTCAACGCGTCTCGCGATGAGCGCTTTGAGTAGCGAAAAGGAAAGCGCTTGATGTTCGCCTTCGTACAGATTTTGCTCGACATAGAGCACGAGCTGTTGCAATTGCTCTGGCGTAAGCTCGTAATCGCTACATTTGCGCAGTAACGCCACAATGGCTTTGTAGGACGATTTAACCAATTGAAGATTCTCATCTTGCTTGATCGCGCCAAAGGTGGATATGTTCTTTAATATCTCGAACATACGCTCGACGACGTCGCTAAGATATTGCTGCTGCAGCGCCGGCAATTCATAAGCGTCGTTCCAAATGGCGCCGAAGCATTTCAATGCAAAAGTCACCACGCGCACATGTGTACTTTTCAGCGCATCGCGTAGCAGCGGCAGTAAGGGATTCAAGAAAGGCTGATAGTCCACTTCTACCAGCTTTTTGCGTTTCAAAACTATCTGCAGTAATTCTAGACCGAATTCGATAAGTATATGCGCATTGGCTTGCGCGTTCGATTGCACGCGTTTATTGACCGCACCGGAACGTGTGCGCGGCGCGGGTTGTATGATGAAGCAGTCAGGTCGAGCGCGCCGCATACGCTCTTTCTCCTGCTCACTAAGCGCGCGCTTCTGTGTGCCCGGCAGCAGATCTATGATACTCTCCGAAACTGTGCCGTAGATGAAGATGAGCAAACTCTCGCGCGAAATGTGCGCATTCTCAACTAAACCGCTCACTATCTTCGCAAAGCAATCCTGTATTTTCAGAGTGACTTTACGCGAATGCGAACGCGTTAAATGCTCCTTGAACGGCATGAGCAGATCCAGCAGACAGTTGTCTTGTATATTGCGCGCCACAATGTGTAATACCAGGTAGCTTTTGGCGCTCGGTTTAGCTTCGGGTGTATGTGCGGCAATCTTTTCGTTTTCCTTTTCGGCGGTAATTTCACCGAAAATATCATTCAACGCCACGTCGAGCAAGTTGTGCAGACAGTTTTCAATATCACTTGGCTGCAATTTTTCACGCAACGCATCCAAGACACCGTGCACAGTGACGGCAAGCACGTGCACTTGAAAACCGCGCGTCAACAGCGATTGCAAGTGGTCCATAAGCAGTGAAAGGTAACTGGCGCCAAGCGCGAGCATAATCTTTTTCAATATGTCACGCGTTAGCATGCGCACCGACTTTAGTGGCGAGCGCAAAAAGGTACAAACTTTCATGAAAACACCTGGTAAACTAGCCTCCATTAGCTCCTTGGGCAACTTTTGCATCAGTTTAACAAGCGCCAGCGCGATCGGTACACGCAGTATTTCCTCCTCTTCGCGCTCTGCGCTAAAACGCTTACGATTCACTTTGTGCTTGTTATCGTATGAGCTCTGCTCTGTGATTGCGCGATTGAGGGTCGGTATAAGTATGCTGGTGATTGTGACCATAACGCGTTTGGCAGCGCCAGCTGGCAGCACTAGCGCGGCGTTGAGTATGCCAATAGCGGGTGTGGAGTCTTCCTGCACTGTCATAGTTTCTGTGTCCGCGGCAGCCAGTTCTGCAGCGAGTGCCGTGTCTTCGTCTTCGTCTTCATCATCGGCTTCAGTTTCCTTCTCATCCGCATCTTCCTCCTCCTCTGCTGCCACTACTTCTTTTTTATCAGCGCTTTTGTCTTTCTCCTCAGCTTGTTCTGTCATTTCTTCACTACTTAACTTAGTGCGCAGCTGTTGCAGCGCTTGCGCATCAGCTTGCGCTTGTGTCAAATCAAAATGGAACGCATCGAGTATGCGCACCACAATGCGTACGCATTGACGCTGATGTTCCTGTGTGCTGCGCAACTTGGTCAGATAGTAGCGCAGCAGCGCATGATACTGCTGCCAAGGCAGTAGTTGACATACTACGCCTACCGTCTCGATAGCGGCGTCTATAAGCGTGTGCTTACCAGCGTGCTTCTCCTGCAACAGATAGCGTGTGGCCAGCGGCAATACAAACTCTGTCAGTGTGCGCGTGCATGGTCGTCGCGTCATCGTCTGTGCATAAGAGCAGAATTTAAGCAGAGCGCGTCCATGGCGATGGCTTTGTAAATGTGTAAGATTCTCAAAGAAATCCACCTCTGCGTCTTGTTGATCGCCCAGTGGTGCCAAATCTTGCAAGACAGCATGTGTTGTAGGCGCTTGGCGCGCCAATTCGCCTAATAAGCGTATGCCTTCGTATCGTACATTGTCGTTGTTGTCACGCAATAAGCGTCTGAGCAAATTAATGGCCACGTCACCAACTAAATAGTCCACATTGGGTTTATCCTCTGCACTGACGGCAAAGCGTTGAGCGAGACGCGGCAACAGCAAACGCAAGTGTTCGCTGGCATTGTCGCGTAAGCCCATATCTTTATCATATTTAATGAAGTAAACGCAGTTGTAGATCACGAGCACGCCAAGCTCTATATCAACACCATTCTGTTCAGCATTCAAGAGCTGCGCAATTTCTTTAAGCGCATCCAAGCGCTTGTCGTAATCGGGTTGCTCTACCCAACGTTTGTCCCAGGCGTTCAGCATGTTAGTGAGGCGCGCTGTGCGTTGTAAGCGCGTCGCCTGCGCAAGGAGCGCTTCGTCATTGCTTTGTGTAGCCTGCTTATGGCGCTTGCGTGCAATGTCCGTGACTAGCTGACACAACAATTTACGCGCGTTCACCTCTTGTGTCTGCTCGAAAAGCGGTGCGAGTTTTCGTAAATAGGCCTCAGGTGCGTCGAGCTGCTTGATCAGATTTGCGAGTGTTGTTATAACTTGCGTAACTACTTCTTCACTGGTGTTGCGCTGAGACTTCGCTATAAGGATTGGGAGTAACAGCTGCAATAAGCTATCACATGTCGCTGCGTCCTCCACGTGTGCGGTGAGTAACGATAGTATATTGAGATCGCGTTTGTCAATTGCTTGCTTGGCGGCGCGCGTGCTAAAGTTCATGCGCAGGCGTTTCAAGAGTTCAGGAATGTAAGGTTTTACAATATGTAGACCACTAACTTCCACTTGTTCCACTTTCGATTTTTGTTCCAACAGGCGCTCGACCAACGCCATAATGGGACGTCGAACCGCAGGCTTTGCTTTCTCATTCAACAGCAGCGTCACCACATAATGGAAGATAATCGGTGTTTCCTGCGCATCTACAACAAACGCGCGTCGTTGCGCTAAGTAGTTGAAGTGCTGCGGCTTTTCACCCCACTGTAAGAGTAGACGCAACAGTGGTGTCGGCGTGTGAATGGCATCTTGCGGCAACTTTTCGATGACCGGCCAAATGTAAACTTCAGTCAAGCAGCGAACCTGTAAGAGCTCCCATTCGAATTCGTCGATGTGCGCGAAGAAATTCACCAAACTCAGTAAAGCGGCGTTGCGCACATTTTTGTAGACCACACTCATCTTTGGATGTATAAGCGCCAGCTGGTCGGCGGGCAACAGTAAAATGGCATTGCAAGCACAACCCACGAATGTTAGCAGTTTCAGCATATAAATGTGAAAGTCACGCTTCATTAGACCGCCAAACTCTTTGCGTATCAACTCCAGCAGATTTACTATGCTTTGCAGTTTTTTTGGTGACCACGCCGCGTGTATATCGAAATCGGCCAACACTAGCGCTGGTATCTGCTCTAGTGGCAAAGCAGCTTCGGTGTATTTGGCATACTTGCCGAAAGCCATTTCCAAGAACCACAGAATTTCTTCGGTGGTACACTGTCCCAGGAAGCGTAGTATCAATGATTTACGCGCTTGTGCGCTCAGCGCGCGCTGTGTACCTTTGGTGATCATTTTGCCATACAATATACGTAGCAGTATTTTCATGAGCTCTGGCCGCTGTTCCACGCTAACGGCTTCATCTAATTTGAAGTTGACTAATTCCTCTTTGAATTTCACTTCATCCACTAATGCGTATAGGTGTTCCTTGTGTGGTGTTAAAGATTTCGATTTGTACCTGAGTATGCAGTCGAGCGCCGCGCGTTGTAACTGTGCATTCGGACCAGCCAGCAGATCCAAGTAGAGCGCATATAATTCAGGTTCACGATAAAGAGAACGAGGATTCGTTTGCGCGGCAAATACGCCAAGTTTGCTTTGTAACGTTTGTAGTATGCTTTTGGCGATGAAACCTTGCTGATCTTTGCGCTGTTTGCCGCGACGTCCACTTTTGCGCGAACGTTCTGTGAACAAAAAAAAAAATCAATTTTAATATATTATACCAAGTTAAGCTAAAAAAGCAAATAACCTACCTGTTTGCTTGTCGTCATCAACCTCCTCCGCATCGCTGTCAAAAGTATCTGCCTCTGCGAGTTGCTCCTGCGCTTGTCCCGCCGCCAGCTGCGTAAGATCCCAAGTCAGCTCGCGTCTTTCCAAGCGCGCGCGATACTCCTGGTTAATGAATTGCAGAAAGATACCGACCAGATCGCGATTTTTTTGCTGTGCCATCTGTCCAAATTGTGGCAGACGCATCCACAACAGATTGCGATAGTTCAACAATTGTTGTTGCGTTTGTTTAGGCAGCTGTACCGTGGGAAGCAACTCATTTAAGATCGCGCTGCTCCAGCAAGGCACATATTCTACGGCGGCGGTGTTGGAATTCTGCGCGTCAGTTACAGTGTAGTCTATACTTTCAGCTGTTTGCTGCAAAAGTAGGTGATAAATAGCCCAAAAGTCTGCGACGCTCATCACTTGTGCGTATGATTCTATTAGTTTCAGTACTGGCTCCCAGACAAACTTAAAGTTATGATACAACATGCCGAGCAGAAAGCGCAGTATGTGCCGCTTATAGATATCGCGCTGAGACTCCTGTTTCTCGATGGCGCGGTAGAGTTCGCCGGCCGTCTCGAGCTGCTGCAGTTGCAGCAATTGCTCACGATAATTATGTACATTTGGTTCAATGCATTCGGCGGCATAGAATATTTTATAGGGATGTGCCAGTTTCGTTTGCTGATGCAGCGTTTGTAGGCCGTGCGCAGCGAGCAGGCGCATATCATGCGCATGCGAACTAAGCAGTGGCACCAGAAGTTCCGATATGCGTTGGATTTCTTCCTCGGTAAATTTTGGCGTTGCGCCTAGGAGTTGGTCTAGCGCACCCAAAGCTTGCAGATTATTTGTTGCATGGGGTAGCAGTGTTTCTATGGAGCGTTGTACAAAATCTGACACACATTTAAATTTAAGATGAATATGCGTCTCGAGCACGAGTGAGTATAATGTCAATTTCTGCGCTAAATTATTATTAGCATTTAAGCTATCTAAAATTTGCATCAAAATTGTGTTTAGCTTTGGCTCGAGTGCCGCTTTTTCCAAACCCGCAATATGTGGTACTAAAATTAGCAATAAAACTTGCTCTCGCAATACAGTATTTGCTTCTTCCAATTCATTTTCATTAAATGCAAGTGAGTTTATTTTTTGTTTCAGTTTTTCTAGCGTGTTTTGTTGTTTTATGTGTAAAATATAAGGCTGCCAAAACTCCAGTGCAAATGCGTTGCCAGCCAGTGGTCGTTTATGCAGAACAACGCGCGCCAATAGCTCAAATGCAGGCTCATCGAACTTTTCCTCAAAGTTCGCAACGACAGAGGGTAGCACTAATAGCTCGAACTGCGCATGCGCGCCAACAAGTAACACAAATTGCGCATAAATATCGTGTTGTTGCACACTCAACGCTTTCTTCATTAAGCGGCTGGTATCTAATTGTGTCAGGTGTGCACTATTTGCCAATAACACCTTGCTAACTAATTCTACTAGCAAATTTAGGGCTCCTTTCGCCTTCACTTTAGCTTGTTCTTGCCCGCAGTAGTCCAACATCTTGATAACAGTTGGTACCACCATATCTAATTCGCACAGATATTTACCATTGCGGTGCTCGGCTGCGAGTATGAATAACGGCAGAATATATACGAATCTTTCCGAAGCCCCCACACCAGCTAACATCATGTTTTGGATTACATTGCAGAGTTTGTTCCAATAGAGCGGCATGCTTTGAGGCAACAAAAAATTGAGTAACTCTTGCACCGATTGTTTCACAATTTCACAGAGCAGTTGCAGTTTGTTCTGGGACTTGGCCCGCTGTTCGTCAACCAGGCATTCAAATATAAACTGTAGAAAATCGCCCGCCACCGAATGGAATTGTCCTTTCACACCACGCACAATTTCAAAGAGTAAACGCCCACATCCTGCTATGCTGTCCACCTGTTCGCGTGCTATTGTGTCCAAAACGAAGTCAAGAAATTTACGATAATCACGCACATCACGTGCTATAAAGGAAAAACACTCCACAGCAAAATTCGTTACATGCTCTTCGTAACGCTGTTCATCTAGTAGTGGCAAAATGGCATGGAACACCACACCGATGTTTTTTTTCAAGTACGGTTTTAGTGCTTTGAATAGGTAAGCCAAGCAAACCAGTGTCCATTCTAATTGCTCAGCGTCTTGTGTATTCAGCAGACAAATGAGTCGATCGAGTACGCGTTGAAAGTACGGGTAGAAATCCTCACGTAAATCGCGCGCTAACACGTATAATAATTCCAACAAAGGCTGCAATGATAGAGTTGTGGCCGTTGAGAGACGCTCCAATAGGAGGTCTATCACAAAGTCTTTTTTGTGCACCAGTTGTGGCAATGTTACCACCTTCAGACATCTGCGGCTAAATTGGCCGAACTCGTCTGTCAAGTTTAACACTATCCATTTCTTCAGCGTTTGATGAAAGCATGTTTCGTTTTCTTCCTCTGGCAGTTCTTCGTTTTCATGACCAATGCGGTACAAAGCCAAGCGACGTATATCAATCTCATTAACACGGTCCGCAAAGGATTTGTACTAAAAGCAAGAGCATGCATTTGGTATGGATTGGTGGTGCATAGCTGGCAAGTACTTACCCGAAAAGTGTTGGCGTTTTTAGTTTTGTGCAATATTTCCGCCATACTTGTGTATTTACATTTATTTTGAGGAATCACTTTGTATTTTTTATCAACACTTGTTTAAAATTGAGTTTAAACACTTTAAAACATTTTTTAGCTCCACAAATGCAGGCAGTAGGAAAAATTAAATATGACAGTTGCAGCGCACATGTTGCGGTTGCCGTGCGTTCAATGTACATTTGTTGACAACGTGACGAATGTTCAGTGCTGTTTTCATATAAAAACAAACAGCTGTCTCACACGTGTGTTTCGTTTGGGCTAGAAGGTTGTACAGAGTTTGTAAAGTAGAATAAAACTATAATTTTGAGAGGATTTGTTAGAAAATTTGTATTTAGTTGGCAGAAATGGGTGCCACGAAGAATCTGGACTTGATAACAACTATTGAAGATGATGCAGAGGTAGAAAATTTCTCAGAAGATTCCGATGCTGAAGTGGAGGTAAGTGGTACAAACAGTAGAGCGTGCTATATAGTTGATTAACTTAAAAAATTGTTGTGTTCTTTAGTATCAACCCACAAAAGTACGTCACAAAAAAGAAACCGAGTTTGAGACAGGTTTTCAATTTGTGTCCTCTGTAAAAGAGTACAATAAAGATACATGGGATGATCTCATGAAATATGTAAAGCGAAAGGCTCGAACCAAGACCGATGACAAAATTGCCGCACGTCTGAAAAAACGTGAATCTGATGACAAGCCCACAGAAGGCGATGAAAGTGGTGACGATGATGAGGTATGTTACTGGACAATCCAATATGTGTAGGGAAGTTGATCTATCTTTATTAATTTTAGATACCGCTCTCCGATGATGAATTGAAACACGACAATCTACGACTACGTGAGAAGAAATTGTCTAAAAAAAAGAAAAAGAAATCTGATGATAACTCGGATGAGGAAGAGGAGGAAGGTGAAAAAATGCAGTTTGATGAAGCTATCGAAAGCAACGAGTCCATTACATCGTTCTACCAAATGAATCTGTCACGTCCGCTAATGCGTGCTATCGGTGTATTGGGTTATATATATCCAACTCCCATACAGGCTTCGACAATACCTATTGCTTTACTGGGTCGCGATATTTGTGGTTGCGCTGCCACTGGTACCGGTAAAACAGCGGCTTACATGTTGCCAACACTAGAACGTCTTTTATACAGACCAATGAATAACAAAACAATTACGCGCGTACTTGTGTTGGTGCCGACGCGTGAGTTAGGCGCACAGGTCTATCAGGTGACAAAACAGTTGTGTCAATTTACAACAATTGATGTTGGCTTGGCAATTGGTGGTTTAGATGTAAAAGCACAAGAATTGGTTTTGCGACAGAACCCTGATGTTGTTATAGCAACGCCGGGTCGTCTCATCGACCACATTAAGAATACGCCTAGTTTTAGCTTGGATTCAATTGAGGTGAGTTGCTTTGTTTTTGTAACAAAGTTGTTATTATTGTACTTAGATGATGAATTATATCCTTGCGCTCTGAAACAGCTTTTGGCTGTATTTGTGGAACTTTTCAGTTATGCTTCGTAGGAGGCGTAACCTGATATCTTAAATTTATTCCTTTTTAAATGTTCTGTGAATGTGAAAATATTAATAATTTTGCTCCTTGAAACATAGGTGCTCATTTTGGACGAAGCAGATCGTATGTTAGATGAATATTTCGCCGAACAGATGAAAGAAATTATAAATTCGTGCGCTAAGACACGGCAGACTATGTTGTTCTCGGCAACAATGAGTGAACAAGTCAAAGACTTAGCTGCCGTTTCGCTCAGCAAGCCAGTCAAAGTATTCGTCAATAATAATCAACAAGTTGCCTTCAATCTTCGACAAGAATTCATTCGTATCCGTGAGGATAAAGAGGGTGATCGTGAACCCATACTAGCCAGTTTAATTTGTCGTACATTCCACGATCATTGCATGGTATTTGTTCAAACGAAAAAGCAAGCTCATCGTCTTCACATTTTACTGGGCTTATTAGGCATACGTGCTGGTGAACTGCATGGTAACCTCACGCAACAACAACGTCTGGAGTCGTTAAAGAAATTCAAAGAAGAACAAATAGACGTACTCATAGCGACGGACGTGGCGGCTCGTGGTTTGGATATTGTGGGCGTAAAAACCGTCATTAACTTTGTCATGCCTATTACAACCGAGCACTATATACATCGAGTCGGTCGTACTGCTCGTGCAGGGCGTGCAGGTATTTCGGTATCATTGGCTGGTGAAAAAGAGCGTAAAATCGTTAAAGACATTATTAAGAATGCGGAGAACTCGGTGAAGAATCGTATTATACCACCAGAAATTATTGAAAAATATCGCAAGAAACTGATCGCACTCGAACCGGAAATACGTAAGCCATCTAACTATTTTCTCCCACACATTCATCACTATTTATATCATATTTGCAGAACACATTTTGGACGAAGAGCAAACAGAACGTCAGCTTGCCAAGATGGAGCAGCAGCTTTCAAAAACGGAACGCAAATTGCAGGGCACCCAGACAGAGCAACGCGCGTGGTTCCAATCGCGTCAACAGCGTGAAGATGAAAAGGCGCGTCTAGCCATTACGCCCCCCGAAGAGAATCAAAAGGCTGGTGCCAATGAAAAGAAAGGTGCCGGCAAACGGAAGCGCACTGAATATGGTGGCGAAGGCGAAGATGGACCACCTGTAAAAGAGCTTAACGCTAAGAAGAAGAAGAAGGAAGAACTGAAGAAAAAGTCACCAGAGCAATTGGCAAAGGAGCGAGTTATAAAGGAGATAGAAAAGGCGTCTTTGGTACGCGCTAAGATGTCAAAGCTGAAGAAACGTCCGGGTAAATTAAGCGCAGTAGCTGATGAGCAAGCCCGGAAACATGTGAGCGACTACAATAAACTAAAACCGACAAAACGTCGTGGTCAGTCAGCATTCACGAACGACTTGACAGATGTGAGCCGTAGCGGAGCGTTGCGTCTGAGGTAAGCATTTGACGACAAAGACTTTTGATATACCTAACTTTAAAAAATTTTTTTTTTAGATCGGAAGCCAATCGCCATAAGAAGCTCACTCAAATAGCGAAAAAGAAGAAGACTAGCGGTGTAAAAATTGCCAATAAAGCTGGCAAAAATAAGTTCAATAAAGGCAAGAACTTTGGTGGTCCTCGTTTTACAAAAAAGAATAAGAAGTAATTTAGCTACTGTTATACATTGTAGTATGTAATACATTTATTTCTGTATCTTGTAAATAAAGAAAGCTAAATTCGCCTATATAAAAAATATAGAATTTGTAATTAATTTTTGCTCTTACGAAAGATACTACAATTCATATTAATACTATTTAATGCATTCAGTGAAGCTGACGCATTTAATGATAATATTAATACAAATTGTGTCAGTTTAAATAAATTAAATTGAAAGGGAAATATTTTCTGTTTATTGTATTCTTCACATCTGGTAACATTGTCTGATTTACAAAATTCCCAAACAGCTGAAAAACTCGTTTGTTGACGTTTTCCACGATTACCTCAGTCTACCAATTTTCAATTCTACAACAACAACAACAACAACAACAAAAAACAACGCAAAAGTCAAGTAAATTTGGTTCATCTATTGGTTTGTGCAGCAATTAAATAGCCAGGCGAAAGAATTAGTTTTATTTTCGCAGTGGTTCTACTTCTCACACACAAAATTCTTTCATAGTAAAAATTTTAAGTGAAAACTAATTGTAAAAGTTTATGAAAAATTGCAAACCTTTGAGAGTGGAGCTAAGATTGAAAAATATTGCGAGAAGCAAAACGCAACTGTCTGGTTGAACTTTGATCAACCGACGGAGTGTGACGTGAGCATTAACTATGTATGTACCAGCGTAAAAAAAAAACAAATATAAATAAAAAATGTAAATATTCAGTGACTAAGTACCATAAACTTCTTTTGCTGCGGTAAACAGTGCTAGCTTGCGTTCTGCAACGGGGGCGTTACCAAACGCTTTTCCAGCTTTTCAGTTGCCCTATACATAAATTTCATGGTATTCAATTTAACATGTTTGGTATCAGTAGAAAATTTGAGAATAAAGTGAAAGTTTAACGCGCTACTTGCGTGTGCTAAATGTTCAGCTTTTGTTTTTGTTGGATATTTCCAATGTGCATTTGTAAGTCAATTCTCATACTCGTTGTTGTTATTCATTTTGTTTAATTTTTGATGTCATCAGCGGTGACCACTGCACTGTCGTGTTTGGAAGTAAACGAAGTGGCAAAAAAAATAAAACACAATAAAAACCACAGACACTTAGGAGAGTGGTGGTAGAAACAGAGCGGATAAGCAGGTGAATTAAACAGATAAGACAGGATAATATCATATTCAACACGGATCGGCTTTAGCATACCATACCACGATTTCAGGGTTAAAAGGGGTATGGTTGGATAAAGGAGATTCTCCAGATCAAGAATATATATATATTTAATTTCAATACTATGAAACAATATTTTCCGGCGGTCTAGGTCTGGATCAAGATATTGAGCCTTATTCTAGAACAATACAGTTATAAACATAAATAATTTTAGCTTGCATGTGCTTTATTTCTTTGCGTTGGAGAAATGCTTTTATAAATTTGCAACTCAGCACGCTTATCATAATTTTTGCTTTTTATTGTGCGCTTATCACTAGATAATGCGGTAGCATTATTCCCACGCAGCACTTTACATATGTACTTATATCATCTCTGAAACAGCTTTTATATTTAAAATTACAAAGTATTGATAAGCTGCCGCTAATGCGGTGTATCCCATTTTGTTTGAATAGCATTTTTAAAAATAAAAATTAAATAAAAACCGTTTATTAAATAAAATACAAGCACTTAATTTTGAGCATTCGGTTTGTATAGCAGCTACAGTGGTGGTCTTATAATAAGAAACGATATTCTTGAAAAAATCTAATCGCTGTATACTTTTTGTAAGACGCGCACTGTATATTATGAGTACCGTTATTCATAGTGTAGGCGCTGAACGGTATTGCTAATTAAACACGTGGCTATTTGCTGATTGGTTATTGGAAATAACTCAAATTATTTCTCGGTACATACTTATAATACAGCTTAAATTGGGTTAGCTGTCAAACTCTAAAGTACCCTATTTCCGTTGGAATTTCTATAATATTTTTTTTTTATAACTTATGCTAATATAATATGTTCCCTATAAAAAATATATTGTTATTTGTTTTCTATTTATTTCTAATGTAAATATGGATTTTCTTTTGTTTATATGCTAATAGAGATTATAATATTTTTTGACGTATGTATGTACATACTTATGTGTATGTATCTTACATATCTCAAACTGAAAGTGCATATTGCAATATTTATTAGTACGCTTTTATTAAAAAAATTTAACAATAGTGTGCTAAAACCTTGAAAAGCGTAAATTTTTACTCAATATTGCAAACACTGTGGTGGTCGCTGCAGCGATAGCTGTTGGCTTGTTCAAATTTATAACTGAACTTTAAAACATGCATAAGTACATACTTATGTATGTATGTGTCAATACCGTTACGCAAACTGCTAAATTGTTACAAATGTTTAGATTTCACATAAAAAGTAACAGGTTTAGCTGAACTTTACACCGGAGAAATATTCATGCATAACTAAGTCACTTGTATGTCAATAAACTAAGCGAAGAAAAACAATAATTTAAAATAAATAGTGCTGCAGGTATATGTAAGTATGTATGTATGGCAGGTGATTTGCTAATTGATTTATTCTGTAAATGTAAATATACAACTGACTCGACGCAATAATAATATATTTAAATTCACATACATATGCATATGTATCTTTTTGCAGCTCCCTTCACACGTGTAAACCTACACATATAAATATGGAGTGTAATGAGTTGACAGTTGGGGTCAAATTGGACCCTGAAATGATTGTCAGCGACAGTGGGAAAACGCAAGTTGACAAGCTTAGTTCAAATATAAACGAGCAGCTATCTAACGGTGATAATACCTACACAACACCACCCTCGCCACCGCCTACACCTAAATCGCTGCCCTGCTCGTCAGCCGCCTCAACAGCCTCGTCTGCTGAATTCATCACAACGCAACACGACGATCAACCGATGGCGGAGCCTTTATCTGCTAAAAATGAGCAGCCCGCTTTGCAGCCCTTATACGCACAATTGCTTGAGCAGTGCATCGAACATGCCAACCACTTTAGAGATGATCACTCGGAGAAGGGACAGCGTCTGTATGGCGCGTTTGTCGCCTGGCAAGATTTTATACGTTTGGCGAATAAGCTTGTGCTTCAGATAGACGCTTTCGCTTACAAATACGATTTTGACGAGCATACGCCGGGTAATGGCTATCGCAGCTTTATATCTGTAACGAATGCATCTATCACATATGGACAAAATATATGCAAGAATGTTCACGCAACGCGTGCCACCATGTTTTTTCGTAAGAAATACTACATGAAGGAGGTGGAGTCGTGCTCGCAGCTGCTATCCTCGTTGTGCACCTGCCTGCACTATTTGCTTATCATGCACGATTGGTCATGCGATTCGGGCGACTTGTTCGCCAATGGCCATCACTCAGCGGAGGAATTGTTCGAAATGGGCGATACGATCAATCAGTATGCCTTCTATGGTCGTTGTCTTGGTTTTCAGTATGACAATTCAATACGCGGTGTGTTGCGTTTTATTTCCATTGGTATGGCGAGCTTCTCCGAAGTGTTCTACGCTCAAAGCGAGGGCAAAATAACGAAGACGACACGTGGTCTCTGGACAGGCAGCAAATATTTTTTGAATCCAGAACAATGCGCGCGACGCATTGTGAATATTTCACAGAATGCTAAAATCGACTTTTGTAAAGCCTTTTGGTTTCTCGCCGAATCGGAGATGATGCATACCATACCGACTATTGTCGGCAGCTCGGTGAGAGTGAATCGTGTGATTGAAATACCGCCAGAGCCGTTGCAGTTGTCGCGGTAAGTTCTTTTTTAACTGTAACTCCAATTTTTTCTTTCTAAAAAACAAATTTCCATTGCAGTGTTACAAAGTCACAAAAGCTACGCACTGCGACCGATGTTAATCAAAATGACAATGCCGAACTGATCGATATACCTTTACCAACCGCACACATCGGGCCCGGCAATTCAATTCGCGTGCGTTTGTTGAGTTATACACGTCGCGAGGGCATGATCGGTGAGGGCATGTTTGCACGTAGCTGGCGTCGCCTACCAGCACGCAGTCGTAGCGTACTATTCCATTGTCATGGTGGTGGTTTTGTGGCGCAGTCATCGAAATCGCACGAGCTCTATCTACGCGATTGGGCTGCGGCGCTTGACGTGCCGATTATTTCTGTGGATTACAGTCTCGCGCCCGAGGCGCCCTTTCCACGCGCACTGGAGGAAGTATTTTACGCTTACTGTTGGATGTTGCGTAATGCCGAGCATTTAGGCACGACCGCTGAGCGCATTGTGCTTGCCGGCGATTCGGCGGGTGCAAATCTTTGCATTGGTGTGGCACTAAAGTGCATTGAGCAGGGTGTACGTATACCGGACGGCCTGTTTTTGGCCTATTGCCCAACCTTAATTAGTTTCGTGCCGAGTCCGGCGCGTCTGTTGTGCCTCATGGATCCGTTGTTGCCTTTCGGTTTTATGATGCGTTGCTTGCGCGCTTACGCCTCACCCGAACGCGAGCAGATGGCGGCGAATGCAAAACATGTATCCGAAATGTCTGATATACGCAATGCGACACCGTCACAAGAGCGTCATTTCACTTTACAAATGGAAAAGGAGTATAGTGCGGCGTCTAGCAGGCGTACATCGGCAGCGAAGAGCCCGATATCATCGGTTGCGGAGAATTCAAAGTGGGAGCAAATGGTGAGATGGCATAGAATTTTACCTGAAAATATGTATTCAAAATATGTATGTTATTTAGTTGAAAGACGGCACTGCATTGGACATGAATGCTATGGAGGCAGATGCTGCGACGGAAGAGAGTAGTGATACTTTTGCGAGCGCATCTTATCATAGCCAAACAGTTGAACGTACCGATTTACCATCCGCCGAAGAGGACAACAGTCTTTGTGTTTCTTTCGAAGACGACTCTCAGCCAATCGTACACTATCCCATACAACTAACTGCCGAAACGCAAAAAGACTCGGACTCAGAGCAGTACATCGATCGGTTTTTGGACCAATATCTCATCGACACAAATACACAAGAGGCCACGGAGCAAAAAGTCAATGGCTATAAGGTGACGAATGGCACAACATATACGAATTGTATTGCGCCAACAATAGCGCGCACAGCATCCGAAGAGAATATCATCATAGATACCGGCAAAGAAATAATCGCTTTTGAAACTATTCATGGACGATTCAATAATGCCTTCAATGCGCTAACAACGACCTTCGATCGTTACACCAAATCGAGTGAGATAGGTGGCGATGCAGCGCATGCCGAGCGCATAAAAGATTTGCGCAACATGGATGCGCTGATAGCGCGTAGCCCTAGCTTAGAGTTTGCATTTCAAGTGCCAAAAGATCCATTCCTTTCGCCCTATTGGGCAAGCGATGATTGGCTTAAGCAGCTGCCAAATACAAAGATTTTGGTGAGTTTTTTTTTTTGAATAAAATTATGAAAATAGTTAGGTTATGTTTACATGTAGAGGTTATGTGTATGTGGGGAAAAAACAAAAACTTATCATTTTCATTTCTTTACACTTAAAAGACGCTCGATATGGATCCCTGTCTCGATGATTGCGTCATGTTTGCGCGTAAGCTAAAGAAATTGGGTCGTCCAGTGACATTGGAGATATTAAAGGGCCTACCACACGGCTTTCTGAACTTTACAATGGTGAGTGTGTGTGTGTATGTTTTTCGCGTTTTCATTTTTAAAAGTAAATTTAATTGTTTCACTTAGTATTCGAGCGAGGCCCGCGACGGTTCCAAGCGTTGCATTGCAAGCCTTAAAGCACTGCTGTCAATTCCGGCGGATACTCCATTAAATGGTCATGCGGCAGGAAGTAAATAATTAATGTTGTAACAGTTTCATAATATTTTTACCATATACACATTGAAATACTTTATAAATTATTAAGGCAACATAAAGCAACAAAAGTATGGGATTTATACTCTACTAAATAAATATATTAATAGCAGGGTATACAATATTAGAGTGAGTATTAGTTATGAGTATTCATATAAAATGCATTATATATATGCGAATATGCAAAATTAAAAATATTAGTCACATGCAATAAGCCTAAGCTACTTTCAAATGCGAAAACAGTTTTAACACCGAAAACAAAATATTGTAAAGCCTTCGAAAAAGCAATTGTATTATGACAGCAAATGCAAATTGTGATAGGTTAAGTGTATAATTTATTTTTGCTTTATCTAATGCTGCAATTTAGTTACTTGTGTTCTTTTTGTTATATTATCAAACATTTTTTAAATATGCTAATTTGTTAAACTCGAATTTTTATTTAATAAGTAAGCGTGGCAAACTTGTTTAGGAAAGAAGCGCAAACGCTTGAACTTTCTGTTTGAATTTTTTTTATATATTATATTTTATTATTTATTTTTGTGCAGAAAAGCTAGAAAAAAGTTTCAATAAATGACAAAACTAACTTTTTGTTTTAAAAAAATAAATTTTTAACAGCAATAATCTTTTTTCTAACATTTCTGTGTATATTATAGTGCATTTCTTATCAAATTTAATTTTAATTAGCTTTTATTTTACTACTTAATTGCATTTTATTTTATGCTACTTCATTTTCCTTAATATACGAGGTGTGTTCAAAGCAAAAGGTGAATTTTGATTTTTCGCGTTTTCTATACATTCGATTATCAGTATTTGTTTTTGTTATAATCTTGAACACTTGAAATGTTGACTGTGGCATTCGCTGAGTCCACTTTGTCTCAAAATAGTGTTTACAAGTGGTACAAGCGCTTTACAGGAATTGCCAGCACGTCAACAAGCGAAGAAAACATCGAAGCAGTGAAGAAAATTGTTCTTAAAAATCGTCGAATTTTTGTGCCGAAATTGCTAAATTTTGAGCAAAAGCAATGTCGCATTAGTATCGCTCAGGAGTTGTTGAATGACGTCAACCATTTTTTTATTTTATTTTTATTCACCAAATTTGGCTCCCTGCGACTTTTCCCTATGCCCAAAACTAAAGAAAGCAATGAACAGAAAGTGTTTCGCCACAATTGATGAGATCAATTTAGAATCGAAGAAAGAGCATTTCAAAAAATTCAAAATTCACTTTTTCCTTTGAACACACCTCATACTTAAAAATTTTCTAGTTGACTTATACAAACAAAACGCATTAGCTATAAAAATGTATGGTAAACAAACAGTATTTTTGCCGCTCAAAATCTTTTTAGTAGTATGATAATGCGGGCAGGGCTCGATTTAAAACTAAATTTACATTAAATGGCAAAATTAAAATAATATGCTTTATTAATTTGCATAAACGTTTAATTATATGCATTTGCAAGTTGTATTTTCAATTACTTGTAAAATAAGTAAATGCTTTCAATGCACAAATTGCACTTTTGTTTTAAGATTAATTCAAGAAAACATATTTTGTGAAAACTTACATTGAATGAATAGTAATATTTGTATTTTTATATATTGTAATAAAATTCTATATATTAAATTTAATTATATATTATATTTGCTAAGCTTACAAATAATTTTCGCGCAGCAATTTTTACTAAATCATTTATTTATATTTATTTATGAATATTTCGTAATGCTTCAATTGCACAAAATGCACTTTTTGAGATTATTTTGTATGAATATTTGTGATTTTTAATTTTAGTGCAGCTTTTATTATGTGTTTGAATTGAAAATTGTTTTGTGAAATTTTTTATTCGCTTAATATTTTTATAATTTCAGATTTGCTTTCGCTGAGCTTTTCTAAATTTTTACTCATTATACTTACATATATTATTTATTTTTCTGCTATTTGGTATACTTTTTATGGTATAGTTATATATAATTAATTAATTATAATTTTTTAATATATATTTTTAATTTCAAAAATAAGATTTCAAAACAATTTTTCAATACCTGAATTTTATTATTAATAAAGTTTATATGTGAATTTTTTGTTATTATGTTATTTATTTTATATATTTATTTTTTATTATTGTGTTAATTATTTTATATATTTATTTTTTATTTATATATATTTTTTTGACATTTTGTTTTTTTATAATATATTTTTTTTTTAATTTTTACACATTCTGTTTTTGCACAATTTATTTTCTTACATTTTTTATATTATTTTTATTTTCTTACATTTTTTAATTTTTTTTATTATTTTAAATTTTTTATTACATTTTTTATTATTTTAATTTTTTTTTACATTTTTTATCTACTTTGTTTATTTTTTATATATTTTTTTATATATAATTTTTTTTTATATATAATATTTTTTTATATATAATATTTTTTTATATATAATTTTTTTTTATATATAATTTTTTTATATATAATTTTTTTTATATATTAAATTTTTTTAAGTTTATTTATTTTTATACACATATTTAATTTCTTTTATATATATTTGTTCTTATATTTAATTTTTTTTATATATATATTTTATATTTTATTTTTGTTTTGTTGTATAATTATTTTTTATTGTGCTATTCTATTTGTTTGTTATTTATTATATATATTTATTTAGCTCGCTTAATATAATATTATATATTTACAACTGCTTTTCCTTGCGAACAACAGCGAATTATTTTCGTATTTTTGTCAAAACTATTAATGCTTACCTCAAATATTGTTGAGCGCTTAAAAACAAGAAAAAAAAAACATAAAACATATTTACTAAATTAAGTAATTTCTGCCTATTCTAAAACGAAAGCTACAAATAATTATTTACTTTAACTAAAACAAAAAAAAAAGTAATATATTTTTTACAAGATATTATATAAATTGCTTCATACAAATGAAAACTTTTTATATACATACTATACAAAAAATACATAAATTATAAAAAAATATAAAATCATATGGCGTGCATACATATAATTAGTCCAACTCGTGCGTTCACTTATATAAATATTATATACAACATACACATACGACATACATATATAATATAATATAATATATGAATAAATGAAAACAAACGGCACACCGAAACAAGCGGCACACTGCGCCTAAGTATATGCTATGAAAAAGTACATAATGACTATAAAAACTAAATTATCCCACAAACCGACCCACACATACAACCTAACAAGTAAATATGTATTTTCCATATATGTATTAATTTATCTCGAAGATCAACTAAATTATTGTGAGTTTAATAAACGCATCACTTGATTTACGAGTGACAATGAGCTAAACAAATTGTGTTATTACTTTTATGTGCCACATTCGCTGTTATTGCTAGTGTTGTTGTTGTTTTTAGTTACTTGTTGTTAGTTACTTGTTGTCTTGTGGCATTTTAATCGGTCATTTTGAATTTCGTTGTCACCGACGATTGGCGCTAACGCCCATCAGCTGGCTGAATGCTTTCGCCGAAATTCGCATTGCTCCACTTTCGCTGCTGGCACACATGCGGTCGCACAAACATGTGTGTGTGTGCTTGCCACATTTAAATGCACTCACCAGACACAATAGTTGTTTGCTGTCAGTTGCTTTGGCTGTTCCACTATTTTTACGAGTCTCGGCCAACCTCTGCGCCCTCTCTCACTCGCGCGCCAACCGCTTGTTCGCTCAAGGTTTTACTGTTAGCTGCTCAATTTCGATTTTAATTAGTTTTGCAGAGTTTCATATTTGTGCATTTGTGTGTGTGTTTCGTCCCGTTCAAGAGCGCGTGCTGCTCAAAGCCACGCAGCAGCAATAGCATCCACACAGGCAGTTTCGCGTAACGGCTTGGTTTTATACGAGGCGTTGGTGGGTTGGCGGCGCAGCTGTTGTCGTACACTCAATTAAATTGCAGTTCATATGTATGTCATAACAACACACACACACACTGTGTGTGGTCTTCGTGTACGTTTTGAACGATCGCATTGTTCAGCAAAGCCATTTTGTATTTGGCCACTTGATATGTGCCAATTTGGTGGGAGTAGCGTATAGCGGTTGTTGCATGCGCTGTTGTTTTTGTAGCATCCACTTGTTTGTTTTTTGGTCGATTGCTTGACAATTGCGGATGACAATAACAAACAAGTGAAATTTGTAATTTCTGTAATGCCAGCTGGCGATGGTTTTGTGGGTCAATCGGGAAAGAGTGGGTGTGAACGGGCTAAGTAGTGAGTTGATAATAGCTGGCAGGCTTGGAAAACATGTTTACATGAAATATCGCATGAAATATTAAAATGTGAAACCAACAATAGCAAGCATATGTAAATTACTTATTTTATTTATTTTAATGTAAAATGCTTATCAAATTAACCAAAAACAACTATCTCAGCGCTTATAATATCAAAACCTTAATGGTAGAACTAGGCGTATGAGTAACTTTTAATCAATAAAATACGATATGATTGTTTGGTATGACAAGGCGTATGAGTTACTTTTCATGCATATAAAAGTGTTTACTTTTATGCTAAGCAGTGTAACGGTAATAAAAGTAAATAACAAATATTTAATAAAAGACAAGACATTGGGTCTACAATAATAACAAAAACGTTTACCAAGCAGTATGTATTAATTTTGCTAGCGGAAACTAGCAGCCATTGTAGGACTAGAAGTTATCGAAACCGAAAAAAGAAAAAAAAAACTTTAACTTCGGCTGCACCAAAGCTTTAAAACCCTTCACACGCGCATTTTTTATAACATAAAAAGGTGTAAAAAGATCTTTATATTCGTATATTATAGTGCTGTCTTAGACAATAATCCATGCCAAATTTCATGGAAATATATCGTCAAATGAAAAGTTTTCCATACAAACAATTGACTTTGATTGGACAGGTTGTTTGGCAGCTATAAGCTATCGTCGTGCGATATAGGGGGTTCCGTTAAATTAGTACCATCTCGTAGAGAAAAGGACGTGTGCAAAATTTCAAAGCGATATCTCAAAAACTAAGGAACCAGTTAACATATACATACATATGCAGGCAGACAGTTTCTTTCGGGGTACATGGAAGGTAACGCAGTATGACTTAATACTTTATTTACCGAACCATATATCTGCAGATCTTGAATATATTTTTTTTACATCAATTATGCTGAAACAAAATGCAAAAATTAAATTTGCTTTAAACTTCAATACTCTGCTTTTAAATAAATGCATTATATGTAAAAATATTACAAAGAACCTTTAAAATTTGACATCATCGAACGCAATTTGCTTAAGTTCGTATGCATTCACATACTCTTGTGCAAAATAAAATTGAATTTATAAGCATTTTATTATGGATTTTAAAATATGACAGCTTTGGGTTGTTATTGTCACAATGGCATTGCATAATTCTTTTGCATATGCCACATTGAGTGGCACAATAAATGTGTCATGAATTTTCCATAAAATTAATTTGACACAAACTAATGTAAACAAAAAGCAAAAATATGAGTGAATGCAAGTGTGTAAATATTTATAAAAAAACGCACATACCTATATACATAAACAAATTGAAAGTTGTACAAAGTCATGCATACATATATGTATATAGTATATGTACATATGTAATTTGGCAGCATCCTTGCAGTGTAATGTGCTGGCAAGAGTTCGATGAGTCACTAGTTGTAAACAGCTGTAATGAATTGGAGAGTGCAGATTAAGTTGAAAAATTTGTCAACATATATGTGTGTGTGAGCTAAAAATATTTCATAAATACTTGTAATATTTTTATAAAAGAAAAAATTTTTAAAGCCATAAAAAATAAAAAAATAAGTTTTTAATTTTTATTTTTAAATTTATATTTTAAGCTAATATCGTACTTAATAATCACTTTTCGGCATATACATATAAAAAACAATATTTTTGTAGCTAGTCTGCAACTAGCCCACATATAACTAGTTCCGTTGCTGTCACTTGCTTACCAGTCTAGTCACGCGAATGCCACCTAACGACTTTAAATTCTTACTGCAACAGCTGTTTACTATCGTAAATGTGTCAAGACAAATATTTTGAGTGCCTGTGTGGCAGCCGACTAGCAAAATGTCACAAATGTTGCTCGCAACTACAGTAGGCAAACACTTTTACTACCGCCAACTTCATTTCGCAACCATACACATACATACATAAA